CGTACAATTAAAAACAGCATACATTGTCCATCTTTCCAAAAAAAAAAACTGCCATATTTACCAACGTAATTCTCGCATATACTTGCGATCGAAAACTGGAGTGTACTATCCTGTCACACGCCGTTTTAAATCGACGATCTTCGTATCTTTCATGTAGGCGTCAACTCCCGTCCACCTTTTACCGTCCATTGCGTGTTTAGTTAGTAAGCAATGCCCTCGAACCGCTTGCTAAATGACACAAGGAGATGTGAAAGTGTCGTTAACCATTCAGGAAAGACTCCCAAATGAATTTTCATCTCCTTAAGGAATCTATTTGTGTCATCCCCCTAAATGCCGGCGAAATCTATCCCACACAGACAGACGCTGAAGCAGTGTGCCAGGTAGTTGACCAAATTCTCAGACCACAGTCTCATCCGTCCAAGCCTTGTACACGCACGTGCTAACCCCAGCTCACTTTAAATTGTGATGAGCTGTTTCTATCTGAACTTACGGGCCAGCCTGACATCAATAAATCTCAACTACGAGTGCATAATCGACATACGAATGGAGTATCGTGAATCGTTTCCAGACTAAAAAGAAATGATTGCAATATTCCAGATTTGTTCCTCTTAATTACAGTGTAAAATCGGGGCGAGGGCGAGAATTACGCTAGTAAATACTGTATATATTGATCCACATTTGTATTCATATATGGTTTTTCCTCCCCAATCTCCATGCTTTCAGCATGTACATACCTAAGAAATGATCACTTCAAAAATGTCTTTATCACGGGTCCTACTAAGTAACATTATTATTTCAGGACAAAATATCGAAAACCTATCTGAACTACCTATTAATTAAATAGTTCTATAAACACATGATCAAATAATCTTTACATTCGTTCATCTTAAAGTTAATCCCCACATCACCAAATCTTTACTCTGTCAAAATTCTGCCTTTCAAAAATTAATTCTCAGATCCCTGACATTCACGTGGTCTCCGAACTCTTAGATCCCAATAGACACGTGCTCATGCGCACACATCTACTTACGAAAAGCACAGGATCTGCAAGATTTCAGATAACACACACCCAAACCTTCAAAGAATTTATTCAAAACACATAGAAGAAGTCACACATACCTCTTTATCATAGTTGTATATATCCAGTTTGGATTTACGAGCACAGAGAACCACACACTGTCGTTTTACTAAGGTTATGTTTTCATTTATCACAGCTTTATGCAGAGGGCTGTAACATAACAAAATTCACATTACAACAGGCTTTTGAAAAGTAATCTTAATAATAATCCGTGGCGTAACAGCTCCAGAGAGCCAAAGCCGACTAGCTTGACTGCTGGCCTCACGTTCACATGCCTACGCACAGGTGAACGATCATAGTGACGTATGGTCAGCACGACGAACCAACCAGCCATTGCAAATTTTCACGACCGGATCCCCAATTTTTTCACGATGTTGGGTTGGCAACGGTCCCATACACAAAAACTAAGGCAGCTGAATGATACTGTACGCCAACCTGTGGCTTCATTTTGTTAGGTTAACTTTGTTTGCAGGGACCAGAAATATATACTACACTTTAAGCAAACATCAATAAAAAATCTACAAATACTCACATATTTCCATTCTCGTCCGGAATGCTACAACGCACCCAGTCTTCATAAGCTCTATGCATAAGTCCTTTGGTTATCTTTGCAGAAGTCTGTTGCGTGTTTGTATTTCTGGGTATAGTGAACAAATCTGAGCATGGAAAGAACACCATGGGGGCACTTCCTTTTCCATTATCAACAACTCCCCTCCTCAAAATCTGTTTTGGTTTTGACTTTCTTGTCTGTAAAGCTATATTATGCTGAACTATAATGTCGTACACAGACTTTGCATCTTTTTCAGTGTTGACAACTTGAGGGCATTTCACTCGTTTATTTGAACCTTCAAGATTAATTATTCCACTTACAGAAATATTTGTATTTCCAAGAGACAAAGGATCACGTAATGTTTCTGCTTTATAATTTTCAACAACTGAACGTGAATTTAAATCAATTACATTTATCTTTTTATGTCGTGAAGATTTCTTAAATTCCACATTTGGCACATCGATCCCGGAGTCAACTGACACTGTATCTGAAGACATCTGTTTGGAACTCGTACTGGAAGGGATGGAACCATCCGAGTCAGTCTGGGACTTCAACATAACGTCCAACCTAACTCTTTTTTTGACTGGTTCATCTGATACGGTCACATTATTCAGCGAAACATTCTTTTCGGTACCTCTATCACCAAGTTCACTTGTCCGTGCCACAAATTTCTTACCACTGTGTGATAACGTCATTTTTGGAAGTGTGCCCGAATTCAACAAAAACCCTGATGGCTTCTGCATCACAGGCGTTACTTTTGAACTGACCATTTTGTCTGGTTCCTCTGAAAGAAAGACAAGACTGATAAAGACATAATTACACTACAGTTTCTGCAACACTACACTACGAACAAACAGTCTGAAAAACTTATGAAAAACAATTAGTCAAAATGTCGATATCTGCCTTCTTCCCGGTTGTGATGCTGAATAGTTAACAATGTTTTTGAGGAATGTATCTCCTCCATATTCAGAGTTGTGATGCCCTGTAATATTGTAGGTGATCCAGAACATTTCTGAGAACATACCATCTCCATCGTCTGCATTAGGCAAAGAAATTCCTCCGACACACTGGTAATAATCTTCAAGACTACCCAAATTAGTAGGAAAGTGTATCGATTATTGTGCTTTGGAAAGTATTCAATAAACAATAATAGAATTTGAACTTTTAATCGCACATTACAGCAAGTCTTGATCACATCCTCCATACTTCAAATTGAGCTAAATCTAGCCTTTTGTTTTCCAAGTGCAGTTATCAGGAAATTTAAATATGCCACTAGAAAATATAAAAGAATTCAAATAAAAATAGTATTGATGATAATTCACCACTCCGAGTTGCTTGTGACTGAGAGAAAACCTCCCGAGAACCTATCATCTAGCCTCTGCATCAGAGAGTCATTAACCCTTTGAAGCCGAAGCTCGTCTGAATATTATTTATGAATTCAGTCCGTACCGCGAAGAAAACACTACACCTCACCATTACGAAAATCAGCTGGTTAACCCTTTGAAGCCGAAGCTCGTCTTCATAATATTTACGAATCCAGACCGTACCGCGAAGAAAACACTTCACTTAACCATTAGAAGTCGAATCAGGCGGTACCACATAAGATTTAACAAACGAACATCCCGGTCAAAGCCTTAAACACCACATAGGAGGACAGACTCGGTGCCTGGTTTAACGCAATAGGATGGATTTCTTGAAGCATTCCCTAACTTCATGCTATCCCCCAGGGTTAAGGCAGCCACAGTATAAAGCTAACTACACACCTCAATGTCTGTATCCATATATACAATCCTACACGCATCACCTTGGCACTGCACTCAAGGATCTATAATTTTTTCTCGTCTGCTAGTGACAACTGTTTAATGATGCAATCTCTAGTCTTATGAAATCAAGCACATATTTTCCTCATTACTTCCCACATACATGCCTCAGCAAACATACCCTTCGCTTCAAGCAAGTTCAAAATACAACACGTAGTGAGTAGTATACTTTTCACTCACGTTTCTATCTGCTTGTGTCTACTGACCTTTGGTCTAGAGGACAAAACCGAGGTTTGAGATGCCTCAATCAGACCATACTCTTGTTCTATTCAAACAAAAAATTGTTGTAATGTAGAACTGATTACGTCCCGATGCAAAAACAAGGAGTCGTTAAG